TCCCATATGCTTTTGTGGCCCACATGCACAGTAATGGTTAAACTGGTGCTGCGTGGCCCCTTGTTGCCTGGGTGAAGGTCCAGATTCTTTTCACTCATCCCCAGAGCCAGCTGGAAATGGATTAATGCAAGAGTTATGGAAATGGGTATGGCTATCACTGTCCAGGGAAAGGGCTTGGTCTTGATCCAGAGATGGGGTAAGCAACCAACTTGAGTCTCTAGTGCTCTTCATGTTGCAACTTCAGGAAAACGTTGAGCATCCTTACTCCCATCCTGGGCAGTGCTAAGAAGTAGGTGAGGGCCTTCCACATTTGAGCTGAACTCTCATTGCAGGGGGCTCCACTCGACATGGGCTGTCCCACCCCTTGGCAGGTCTGGCCCAGCAGCAGAGACACCAGGGTGCCACACTGCTGTAGCTGACACCATCTTATATCTACTGACTATGGGACTTTTAAAGCTATTCTTAGGGGCTAGAAAGATGGTTCTGCAGTTAAGAGCACTGGTTGCTTGTAGTAGAATATTATGTTAAGGTGTGTTACTTTTGTTTATGTTGCATTTGTTTAACTCTGTGAACCTGTGGTTTGTGCCTGTGTAAAACACATGATGGTCTAATAAAGAACTGAATGGCCATTGGCAAGGCAGGAGAGAGATAGGTGGAGCTGGCAGGCAGAGAGAATATACAGAAGGAGAAATCTGGGAGAAAAGAGTAAGAAAGATGGAGGAGTAAAGAAAAAAGAAGTATCCAGAGAAGGAGGACGACTCCAGGGCCAGCCAGCCAGGTACACAGCAAGCCATGGAGTAAGAGTAAGATTCACAGAAGTAAGAGAATGGGAAAAGCCCAGAGGCAAAAGGCAGATGGGATAATTTAAGAAAAGCTGACTAGAAACTAAGCCAAGCTAAGGCCGGGCATTCATAAGTAAGAAAAAGCCTCTGTGTGCAATTTATTTGGGAGCTGGGTGGCAGGCCCCCCCCAAAGAGCCCAAAAACCTCAACAAAAGTTGCTCTTTAAGTCAGGCGGTGGTGGCGCACGCCTTTAGTCCCAGCACTCGAGAGGCAGAGCCAGGCGGATCTCTGTGAGTTCGAGGCCAGCCTGGGCTACCAAGTGAGTTCCAGGAAAGGCGCAAAGCTACACAGAGAAACCCTATCTTGAAAAAAAAAAAAAAGTTGCTCTTTAAGAGAATTCATGTTTGATTCCTAGAACCCATATGGCAGCTTATGAGCACTTGAAACTCAGTTCCAGGAGATCCAATGCCCTCTTCTGGCCTCCATAGGCACTAGGCACACACATGGTATATAAACATACATGCAGGCAAAACACTCACACACATGAAAGTTATACATTCTATATTGTGGTATTAATAGTAATGGCTAGAGAGATGGCTCAGAGGTTAAGAGCACTGGCTGCTCTTCCAGGTCCTGAGTTCAATTCCCAGCAACCACATGGTGACACATAACCATCTACAATGAGATCTGATGCCCTCTTCTGGCCTGCAGGCAAACATGCAAACAGAACATTGTATACATAATAAATAAATCTTAAAAAAAAAAGTAACATGGCATCTTGGGAACAAGAATGGGAAGTTTATGGTTTAATAGTGATGTGTTTGTGTCAAGTTGACAAGAGGTCATTGTCTTAGTTTTTGGTCAAACTGACACTAGCTAGAGTCATCTGGGGAGAGGTAATTTCAATTGAGAAAATTTCTCCATATGACGGAGTGTGGGGCATTTTCTTGATTGATGATGTGGAAGGGCCAAGCCCACTGTATGTGGTACCACCCCTGGGTAGGTGGTCTTGAGGTATACAAGAAACCAAACTGAGCAAGCCAGTAAGCAGCACTCCTCCATGGCCTCAGCTTCAGTTCCTGCTGACATCCCTTCACGATGCACTATAAGCTGTGAGATGAAATAAATCCTTTCCTTCTAAGTTTCTTTTGGTCGTGGTATTTATCACAGCAATAAAAAGCAAAGTAGGACACATGGGCTCTCAATTAGTTCTTACAACTGCATGAGAACCTACAATCACCATAAAATAGCACACGGAACTTATATACAACAACAGTGGTTTGAAAGAAAATGGCCCTCAAAGGGAGTGGAGCGTGTCACTGTGGAGGCTGGATCTGAGGTTTCATATAAGCTCAAGAAACGAACCCGTGTCTCAGTCAACTTCCTGCTGCCTGCATATCAAGATGTAGCCAGCACCATGTCTGTCTGCATGCCATCATGCTCCCAGTTATGATGATAATGGACCGAACTTCTGAAAATGTAAGCCACCTCAATTAAATGTTTCCCTTTATAAGAGTTGTGGTGGTCATGGTGTCTCTTCACAGCAATACAAAACCCTAACTACGACAGATGTTGGTACTAGGAGTGGGGTATTGGTGTCAAAGGCCTGACCATGTTTTTATTTGGAGGAATTTGGACTTTGGTACTTTGGGTTATGAAAGCAGTGAATGCTTTAAGCACTGCTTAATGGGCCATACTAGTAGGAGCATGGAAGACAGTGGTACTAAGAGTTATTTGAACTGTGGGGGGCTGGCTCAAGAAGTTTCAGAGAAGAATTTTAGTTTGTTGTCTAGAGATCATTCTTGTGATATTTTGGTGAAGAAAGTGGCTGCTTTTTGCCCTTGTCTAAAAAGTTTGCCTGAGGCTACAATAAAGAGTTTTGGATCAATTCTTTTGGCAGAGAAAATCTCAAAACAGCCTAGTATAGACTCTGTCATGTGGTTATTAGTGGTAGCTCTAATAAAGATGTATAATGAAAAGGAGAAAGCTGAGCAGGGTAAATTACAAAATATAAATTTAAGGTGAAAAGGAACACCAAAAGGTGGTATGGAACTAAGTCCTGTGTTCAAGGAGATAAACAGATTAAGAAATGGAATATAGGGAGTGGTGACCTCAGGGCAAGATCCCACCCAGTTAATTTTCCAACTTGTGAAAAAGCTTAGAACCTTTAATCCCAGCACTCAGAAGACAGAGGCTTTTGAATCGTTGAGTTTGAGGCCAGCCTGGTCTACAGCGTAAATTCCAAAACAGCCAAGCTTAGGTAGTGAAGGAAAGAAAGTGGGTGAAGATATAACTGAATAAGGGAGTCATGCTCCAGCCCCAGCAAGCAATGAACTTGGCAGCTTTGGTGACATGGTTCTGGCTTTAGAGTCAAGGACAGAAGAAAGGCATTATGGAACCTTCCTCCAAGACTAAGGAAAGCTACTGAGGCCAGGCATGTGTCAGGGGTGTCTTTGAAGGGAGGACTAGAGAGGCCACCAGGCGAAGTTGCGCAGAGCCAAAAGGAGTTGGAGATCTAAAGAGCACTTTGACAACAGACATGGAGATGCAGATTTTGGGGTCTTCCCAGCTGACTTTTGGTCTTGCTTTGGTCCAGTATTTCCTCACCATGCTCCCTTCCCTATGTTCTGGAATGGTAATGTATATCCTGTACCATTTTATGTTGGAAGTATGTGATCTGCTTTTTGATTTTACAGGTGATTACAGTTAAGAGATTGCATGAATCTCAGAAGTGACTTTGAACTTTAGACTTCTAAATATGTTTATAAACTGTTATAGACTATGGAGACTTTTGAAGTTAAACTGAGTGCATTTTTGCATCATGATATGGCTACAAGTTTTTGGGGGCCAGGGAGTGGACTATGGTGGTTTGAAAGAAAATGGCTTTCAAAGGGAGTAGCATTATTAGGAAGTGTGGCCTTGTTGGAGTAGATGTGGTCTTCTTGGAGGAAGTGTGTCACTATAGAGGTAGGATTTGAGGTTTCATAAAAGCTCAAGAAACTGCCCAGCGTCTCAGTCTACTTCCTGTTGCCTACATATCAAGATGCAGCCAGCACCATGTCTTCCTGCATGCGCCATGCTCCTGGCTATGATGATGATAATGGACTAGCCCTCTGAAAATGTAAGCCACCTCAATTAAATGTTTTCCTTTATAAGAGTTGTGGTGGTCATGGTGTCTCTTCACAGCAATAGAAACCCCTAAGACACCCAACTATCAATGCTATTCACCTGTGATGAAATAAACAGGGAACACTGTTTCCTCCCCACCAATGAGACAAAATGTCTAGTACTGCTCATGAGATAAATCATTCAAGCATAATAAAAAGCTGATGCTGCCGGGCGGTGGTGGCGCACGCCTTTAATCCCAGCACTCGGGAGGCAGAGGCCGGCGGATCTCTGTGAGTTCGAGGCCAGCCTGGGCTACCAAGTGAGTCCCAGGAAAGGCGCAAAGCTACACAGAGAAACCCTGTCTCGAAAAACCAAAAAAAAAAAAAAAAAGCTGATGCTTTGCTGAGTTCAATGTTTGATGAATAGTCTCATATACATTATTATCTGCTCAACAGCAACAACAGAAGACTGTGTGAGGCAGGGATGATAAGATTTCCCTGAGCCTGCACCACTTACTGGAACCAAACCAACAAGTCCTTCCGGCAATAGTTCTATCATTCTGTCTTGGTCCTGTTAAGCTGTTCTAACCCTAAAAACAAAGAACTACCATCAAGCAGAGAATGGGAATTACACTGGTATGGTGACAACGAACCACACATTTTTACAGAGTTATAAGGTCCTTAGGTGATTACATAGGTCTCAGTAGAGGAAACACAGTAAAGTGACCTGCTCCGTGAGTTCTAACACATAAACATTTATCTTGGTCCAGTGATTAAGACAGGGTTGGGACTGGAGAGAAGGATCCGTGATTAAGATTGCTAACTAGTCTCGCCTGAGGACCTCGGTTTGGTTCCCAGCGCCCACATGGTGGCTTACAATCACCCAGCACTTCCAGTTCCAGGGGATCCTTGATTCCCTTTTCTGGTCTCTGCGGGCTCCTGAGCACACGTGTTGCACATAAATCCATGCAGGCACATTCACACACATACTCACAAATAAGTCAATCTTTAAAAAATTAAAATAAAATAAAATAAAATAAAAACACTAAATGATGAGAGGGACCGAGCTGTCTACTTTCACCCAGCACCCAGCTCAGCGCCCGCTATTTACAAGCTGAGTCAGTAGTCGCATGGTGGTGGTGACAGAGAGCGGCAGGAGGAGGCTCAGCTGCCAGTCCCCGGCTCCGGGGCCAGGGCGTCGCCAACCGACCAGGGGGCCATGGCCAAAGGAGAGGCCGCGGGAGCCAGAGGTCACCCCGCCACGCACGGCCTTCTCTGGCAGCCCAGCGCAGGCGTCGGGTCGAGCCAGCGCTCGCCCAAGGCCCGGGAGAGCGGAACCACCACCCGGTCCCCGCCTGCGCCTTCGCTTCTCTACTCACGACGCGCGGCGGCGTCCCTGCGTCTGGCCGGCCCTTCGCCCTCTGGCTTTTCCCTCCGCCGCGTCCGCCCATTGGCCAGCCGCGGCCACGCCCACGGAAGGCAAAAGCGCGCATTTCATTGGCCCTCGCTGGGGGGCGGGGCTGGAGAGCGGCGCGCTTCGCCCGTAGAGTCGTTCGGGCTGCCGCTGCTGAGGCTGGTGGGCAAGCGGAGGTGGCGCAGGCCATGTGGCCCACCCTGCGTTACCTGGGCGGTGCCTGCGGTCGAGCCCCGTGCCGCTTTGCTGGGGGCTTCCTCCGGGCAAGCGAGCGGGCGTCCCGGGGGCCCGGGCTTCTGTGCGGGGGTGGCCGCAGCTCCAGCACCAGGTAAGTGAGTGGTGGTGGCCTGCCCTTGCTGCTTCCCTCTGAGGTGGCTCGGACTGGACCTACGCCCCGACTCGACGTCTCTGCCCTAGGCGTTGAAGTCCTGTTTCTATGGTCCAGCCTCGGACTCCAGGAGCTGCTGACCTGCAGGGTTCATCCGCAGCATTTGTGGGCGGGAGGAAAGGCAGTGTTGATTGGAGGTCAGGAGCGAATCTGGCTCCGACTACGCCCCCACCTCTCCGTTTCTGAGCCACTTTAAAGGCTGAGTGGTGAATAGGATCCTAGTCTGGCCCCTAGGCGGTCATTTTGAGGATTAAGGGACCTAGCACACTGTAAATCAGTGTGCTGATTCTTAGCTAGCATCCTCTGTGTTGCATGGAAGATCCAGAACTGGGCTTCAGTAGGGAGGGCAGTTCCTTGCACGCACTGATGTCCCACCTGAGCAGCACCTCAGTTGCCTACCGTGAGCTGCCTACGGCAAATGCAACGTTGTGTGCGAAAGCTTTAAGGGGGAAAGCTTTTGGTTGTTTTAAGACAGGAAAGTGAGCCTTACGAATGTAATTTAGTGGAAGACAAAAGTGTGGGAAAGCACTGGAGAGGGACAGTGTCACAGCAGTGTTTTTGTTTAAGCCACACATTAAATTTTAGCCTAAGGGCCATAGAGGCTGTTAAATGGTGTTGAAACAAGGTTTCCCTGTGTAGCCCTGGCTGTCCTGTAACTCCCGATGTAGATCAGGTTGGCCTCCAACTCTCAGAGATCAGCCTGCCCCTGCCTTGCAAGTGCCAGGAGTAAAGGTATGTGCCACCCCACCTGCTCCATCTTTGGAGACAGGGTCTCTCAAGGAGGTTGGCTGGCCAGCAAGCTCCAGGGATCTGCCTGTCTCCCTACCCGACCCCAAGGTTACAGATGGGTGAGACCATGCTTTTACATAAAGGTGCTTGGGATACAAACTCAGGTCCTTCTGTGTGCACAGCAAGCGTTTTACCAATTAATCATTTTCCTAGCCCCGGACATTTTTTATACTTTTTATTTGGGGACAATTGTAGATCCATAGAAAGTTGCAAAAATTATAGAATGATTTTATGTTGCCTCCCCCCTTCTCCACCTTTCTCCCCAGTGTTAGCATAGTACAACAGCAAAGTCAGAAAAATTAATATTGATACAAATGCACACATGTTGTTCAGGTTCCATCAGTTTTACATGCGCTCTGTGTTCTGTGTGTAGGTCTATACAGTTTAATCAGATTTTGTGTTATCCCCATAATTTGGGCATAGAAATGTTCCACTGTGGACCTGGGCACACACGGTGGTAGGGCCCAGCTGTCAGTCAGCTCCTCTTGAGAAGCTCACCAGAAAAGAGCTCCTGACGGCTCTCCACAGCTCAGCCAGACATTGAGCTACAGTGCCTGTCCTGGTAGCAAAATGAATGAACAGTGTCTGCCAAGTGCTGGCCTCTGTAATGGTCAACAGTGACACCAATAAGAAATGGGTACCAGTCAAGTCTGGACAGCGGGGGATCAGCCAGATCAACATGTGTTATAAGAATGCCAACAGTACCTCTAGAGTTGGAGTCAAGCCACAAGTTCAGCTGGTGGCGATCATTCAGTCGTAAAAGGCTGGGCTTCTTTTCTGCTAGTGGCCAGATGTCTGGGCCTTCACCTTATGGAGGGATATGGCTTCAACTCTGCAAATAAGGAAAAGGTAACTACATTTTCCACTTGCAGGGCTGTTTGCCCTGAACATCATGAATTCCCAAGAAGGCTCTTTTATCTAGTGTCAGGTGCAGAAGGACTCTTCCCTGAGGAAATGAACCTGCAGAGAAGACACGTGATGAAATACTAGCAACACACTGGTGTTGTGAGGCAACTCCACCAGAGAAAACACATGGACACTCTTTTCCTTCCTTTCTTCCCTCCTTCCTTCCTTCCTTCCTTCCTTCCTTCCTTCCTTCCTTCCTTCCTTATTTTTTTGGTTTTTCAAGACAGGATTTCTCTGTGTAGCTTTTTGCCTTTCCTGGAACTCACTCTGTAGCCCAGGCTGGCCTCGAACTCACAGAGATCTGCCTGCCTCTGCCTCCCGAGTGCTGGGATTAAAGGTGTGCGCCACCACTGCCTGCCTCACATGGTCACTCTTTTTTTTTTTTTTTTTTGTTTTTTGAGACAGGGTTTCTCTGTGTAGCTTTGCGCCTTTTCCTGGATCTTGCTCTGTAGACCAGGCTGGCCTCGAACTCACAAAGATCCACCTGCCTCTGCCTCCCGAGTGCTGGGATTAAAGGCGTGCGCCACCACCGCCCGGCTCACATGGACACTCTTAACGCTGAATAGAAAGTCTGTATTGCCCCAGCCAGTGCCTGCACAGGGAACTTGTCCAAATCATGCAGCCCTGAGCCTCACTGTTCTTTGACTTTTATGCACAAGACCCGCCTCCTGGTTGACACACTTGGGTTAGCAGGAACAGTTAGCGAAAAGTGAAACTACAGAGCCAAAAAGCAGGGTTAGTACATTTAGAAACTTTCCTGGATCCTGGAACTATGGACTAGGTCTTAGATGGATTAGCCCTTCATTCCCGTATTGGCAAGTTTGGGGGCCTCCGTGCTGGGTGCTAAGGTCAGAATGGTGCTTCCAACATGGTGTCAGTTGTGCTAAGGTCTCTGGAGAGAACCTTGGCCACAGCCCATCCTCCCACAGGGGCACTCATCGTTTGTCTCATGTAGTGGGCCCCAACCCTCATCACCCCTTGTTCCACTTGCACCCACAGTTCCCCTAACCCACCTCCCTGCCCCCCAGGAGCCCACAATAAATGATAAATGCTCCATCATGGAGCTAAGCTGAGGAGGGTGCAGTGACCAGAAGATTCATTCAGAGACTCTAGTCCTAGCAGAACTTCAACATCTGATTCTGTCTGGAAGGGCAAAGAGACAGTAAGATAAAGGAAGCCCCGCCAAGGAGATGAACTAACTTCGGGTCAAAAGGAGAATGCAGCTTGCGGCTCCCCAGACGGACGAGCCGCTGACAGAAAGCCCAAGGGAAGGTCTTAGTATCTCCAACATCCGCTGAGGACCTGAGCCCCCAGCCGGCCACCTAGCTCCTTAGATGCTGGTGGGAAGCTTGTCTGGTGAAGAGCCCCAAATTAAGAACCCCTTTCAGTTGCACCTTGTAGGGTGAACCCTGCCAGGAGTGTGAACAGCATGCGTGTGGACTCCGGTGAAACAGGACCCTTAGAAGAGGTTGTCTCTAGAGTTTCTCCAGGTGAAGAAAGAACATTGGCTCCATCGGGTGGGCACTGAGTGGGATCACTGTCACCTAAAGTGGGCCATTAGAGAACAGGAGGGAATAGAGGTCCCAGCCTGTGAAGGCTGGGATGTACTGTCTCAACCTGTGATTCAACATTAAATAGGAAATCAAGCTCAATGCCTGGATTCCTTTTCTTAGGCTCTCTGATAGAGAATATCAGGCCTCTTCTTTTTGTGTGTTTTATATTTGCCTAAGTGGACATTTCTTTGGATAGAGAACATTCCCAACTTACCTGCTTTGTTACGTGGCTTCCGGGTTTTCTCCAGGTGATGCTGTTGCGGCCCTATGTGGCATGAACAACGGGGCCTGCGGTAGCCTTGCCATGCTTTGGAGCCATGGCAGCTTCGGTATTAACAGTCTGTACATGTAGTGTGTTTTCTGTCCACACAGTGAACTGTTCATTGTCAATACGATGTGCCATCACCACAAAGATTCGTTATCTGTCCCTCTCTGGTCACATCCTACCTCTCCGTTCTTCCTAACTCTTGACAATTACTCTGTTCTCCATCAGAAAACTTTGTCATTTTGAGAATCTTCTATAACTGAAATGTAGTACAGGACCTTTAACACTGTTTATCATACAATATGATATATATATATATATATATATATATAATCTTATTATCTGTCACATATATGGTATATTAAATATAATAATAACAACATATATGATATATAATGTTATATTTGTTATTATATAAATAAAATGTCATTGACAAATTTGTACTTTAGTTTCTCATTAATGAAAATTATGCCAGTGAAGTTCGGTGAGGTCTATAAACATAAATTCTTAAAACTTGCTTTCTCTTAAAGTTCATTTGATATAGTCATCATCGGCGGCGGAATTGTGGGGCTTGCCTCTGCCAGAACACTCATCCTGAAACATCCCGGACTTTCAATTGGTGTTGTAGAAAAGGAGAAAGATTTAGGTATGTATACCATCAGCTTGCTGGGAACCTGCTTCCTTTGACGACTGAATCAGTCATGAAAAACGTTGATGGTAGTGTCTCATTTTGGGTTCTCTTGAAAGGAAAGTCTGGGACAAGGGCTTGCATGGAGGTGGTTGATTTGGGGGGTTGTATGGGGTGTCAGGAAGAAGAGGGGGTAGGGAGACTGAAGAGCACACAAGGGCATGCTCTAAATGTGCTGCTGGAGCTTGAGTACCCTGGTACCCCAGGGGGCAGCATGGTCTTCCCAGGCTTGTGTTCATTCTCCATCAACCTCTAGGATTGTCCCGATTGATACTAACAACTTCACTTCCCTCCAAAAAAGGCCTTGGAGCATGTGCAGAGAGTCATGGTAGGCCTTTAAAGTGGTTT